CTGTTTGGAAAATCGGTCCAGAGGATATACGACATCTGAGAGAAAGTGTCTAGTCAGTTAAGAGTTAGGTATACCTTGTTATTTCATTTCTTCCTGACAGCTCTCCTTGGTTAGGTAATCTGGCTACCAACTGGAGAAATATGTTAACTTATTCATGACTCCACGGCAAGATTTGTAAATGTGCTGAGCTGAGTTGTAGTGTTCTCGCTTCCCGAACCTTATCTTAGCTTGCTTAGCTTAAATTCAACCAGTCCTTTACAATACCCGATTTCTAGCTGCTCACTTGAGTACATAAAGTTTGAAGGATAAGGTGCAAGGAGAGATTAACTTGCCTACCAGTGAGCCTTAGAGACTGCTTGAATTAAGAACTTTAATATTCTCAGGACTCACGTGGTCTTTCCTCCGCACTTTCAGTCTGCTCAGCAGCACTGTGCTCACGTCTCCAGTGCTGTCTGTCTCCCCCGGGTAGCATTAGGGGTGCAGGAAAACAGCCCTCACCCGCCTCCTGTCACATGACCTTTTCCCAGTGGTGAAGGTGGCATGATATGACATTTTGTAATTTAAAATGAAGTTTCCTGAAGTTAAGTTTTTGGTCAGAAAAGGAAAAGCTCCGCCAACCAATCAAGGTGTTACATTCCTTGATGAAAGGTAGAGTGCCACACAGAGGAGACACTGGCGTGGTTTCCACCACCATGGTGTGGAGGGCTGTCCATGTGGTCGGCGTGTGTAACGCCTTGCTTTTGTGTGTGTGCGACAGTTGCGATGTTGCTGTGTAAATGGTGTGTCTGGGTAGAAGGAATGAATGGATTTAAGGCTGAATGGAGTCTTAGTTTCTTCTGGGGTTTTTTTGTTTGTTTGTTTCTATCTTTTTTTTTTTTTTTTTTTTTTTGCACGAGAAACACCTAAGCGGGGACCTGAACTCAAGTGGCCTGTGTGTGCTCAGAAAAGCATTTACTACAGCTGAGTATGAGGAATTCTTCTCACGAGAGTTCAGATCCTGTCTTTGATACTGATTGTCGAGGGCATTAAAGAGATACAATACATTAGTCAATCCAAGATAGATTAAAACAGAAAATAAATGATGCTTTTTCAGTCTAATAAAAATCACTATTGCTACAATAAGAAAAAAGAGTGTTGTTGCTATTTCTACTGCTTATTATTGACTTGTTCTATGTTAGATGAACTATAAAGTCACGCTTGGGTCACATTTCATCTGCATATTTTGGGTCGGTTACATAAGCTCTCTAAGCTTTGCTTGTAAAATTTATTGCAAAAAATATGCCTCCTATTTTGATGATCAAAAGAGTAACCACATCCAGCTGCTTAACTCAGTGCTTGGTTTGTTAACGGAGCCTCAGAGAAAGTAGGCCATCGTCAGTGCGTATTTTGTTGTTTTAGCTGATTTACATTTTATGGTTTCTCTGGATAATTAAAGTATTTGTAGCTGGTCGTTTGTTTATAGGAATATTCTTGTGTTATATGGATTACTTTAGTGAGCGCCCAAGGGAAAAAAAATCCCTCAGGAAACTATGGAAGGGATCTTGGGAGTTTAGTTAGGCCTTACGTTGCCTTTCAGTAGCCGGGGCCCAACCAGGGCTTCTCGAAGTAGGCACTACTGACGCCTGGGCCAGATAATTCTTTGCTGTGGCCCAGGCGGCCGTCCTATGCATTGTAAGATGTTTAGCGCATGTCTGGCCTCTAGTAGCTGCTAGCAGCAAGCACTCCACCCCTACCCCTAACTGTGACAACCAAAAGTGTCTCTAGGTGTCCATGGGCAAGGGAAGGGGACTTATCCCTAGCTGAGAACCTCTGGTCCAAGCCATCTGCCATGGCCACGGTGACAGAGTCATTTTGAAAACTGGTAATAGTCCACCCCAGTGTTTACTGGCCCTGATAGGTGGGGTCTCTTCTGCATGCTACATATCTCTCCTATAGTAAGGTCATATTTTCTTCTTGGATCCTGTTATTAAACATATGACTATAAGACAACTTTCTGTGATGAGTGTCAAAATCACTCTGCAGCCTTGCTTTTTCACAGTGACTCATAACTTAAGTGCTCTCAACACTCAGGGTTCTTAGATAATCAGGAAGGCATTAATCATGTCTTCTATACATTATTTGCATTTTTGGTAATTATAGACTAATAAGCATGCCCTTTATGTGATATTTTAGTTCACATATACCTTTATAAATATTTCAGCTTTGGGATAATTAAGAAAATTGGACATTATTAATTAGACATGCAATCAGTGTGTATATTTAAAACTAGCAGTTTTAATGTCCTCATATCCTTTGAATAAAATTCTTCATGAAGGTTTTTTTTTCCAAAATCAATCCTTAAGTAAATAAAACTAAATAGTTTTCTGATTACAGGAAGATAAATTCATATGATTATATACGTGGAGTTTATTTGCTACACGTCTGATTCTGTTGCTTTTTATAGAAATGCATAGAGAAAAAAAGGTGTTCAGTAGAATCATTCTGAAAGAGAAATTACTTCACTTATTTGATAATATTTTGTAAAGCTGTAATTTTATCATATCATGCAAATCCTAAAGACAGCTTTGAAATTTTTAAATAGTAATTTTGCCAAGATAGAAAAAAGAAACATTTTATGAGGAAAACGTAATCGAATTTTTATGAAGATTATGTACTTTTCTTGCAAGTTATTTTCTTAGTGTCTAACAATATAAAAATATGTATCATCAAGTTTTGAGCAGAAAATATGATTCTCATTTTTAATAAACTAACAGCTCTTATGTTTTGATCATTCACATTTTTACCCAGACTTTAATATTCTTTATATTAAAAAAATACTGCTAAAATAAACCACATTTACAGTATAAATGAGTGTAGCATAACATATCTATGAAGGGAGCTAACATAATTTCAAATGGTAAAATCCAAAATTAACTATAATTAATATTGATTTTTGGCTTTGTTCATATACTATTTATAGTTCTTGAACTTTTATTAAATTATGTCATGAGTCAGAATTTTCATATGACCAGGTTCAGAGTTCTTAAATATTAACAGAAGTTACAGTACAGAATATTAAATTGAAGTCTCAAAGTATCGTATAATTCATTTGTTTTTTGTCAAGCCACTCATAATTGCTTTAACTATTTCTACTTTTGATTAAATATTGAACTTTCAAATTATATTTAAAGTCCATTGTGATTTTATATGACAAAATCATTTTTTTAAAATTATTGAAACATTGAATAGTGAAAAATAATGACACTTTTGAAAGAGTTTTTTTCCTCCAAAAGAGCCAACATGGTACTATAAACAAATTCAAAGTGTTCAATGATTTTTAATTATTTGTTGCAGGGCTAGTTAGCGTTTTGCCTGTCCATTAAAGAGTAATTTGACAAGAAAAAATATACTGTTGTAGAGATTTGAATAATCTGGTTAGTCATTGGGTACATTCAGTTCTTCTTGGTATCAGCTGAAGCTGAATTAAATTAGTCACTGGTGCATTTGTCGATTGGAGCCAGAAAGTCTACCCTATTTAATTTTAAAATAATTTTCTCTGAGTAAATTATGGAAGTAGCCACTAAAGAAATCATATTACTTTAGAATTAGCAAGACCAATTTCTTTTAGAGTGGGAAGATAATTATTGACTCTTAAGAGATGGAGTAGGTTTATAATTTTTTAATCATGTCATAAAAAATATTATCTTAAAAATAAATTAAATTCAGCCTTAAAATTCTACAAAGATTAATGTTTACAAAGAAAATCAAGCCAGACCAAACTAAAACTAAAGAATAAACAAATATAAAACTCATGTGCCATCATATTTTTGATTGTTTAATTACATTTAGCTTTTATTCACATTACTGAGAGCCTAGTTCCTGATAGCTACTGCGCTGGGAAAAACTGGCTATTTGATTCTTAAATTTCTATAGATTAGGAGTTGTTATCCCAATTATTTTATTGGAAAATTGAGGCTAAGAACATTTGGCAAGCTAGCCCTGTATGTTACTTTTAGAAGGTGGCGCTCATAAGATTCAAACTCAGGTAGTAACTCTCTGTTGTATATTATTTGTCTTTTTCCATAACAGGTGCAATAGAATCACAAGTGCACTGTTGTCACTCCCTTAACTGCTTCTAATCCCATGGCTATATAAGCACCGAGGAGAGGCATGCTGTGCTCTTTTTAGTACAACAAATAATCTCAGGGACTTGTAGGTCTTCTGTGACATTACTGTATTATGACTGCACAGTTTCCACATGGGAACTCAGGTGAAAAATCATTTGCATGAGAGAATTAGTGACAGGGGCTGAAAAGATTACCATGCCACAATTATACATGAAATGTATACACACATATAGTATCTCATATAAAGGTTATATGTAAATATTGAGTTTATTCATTTTATACATAAAGATGCGTGTTTGCTCTGTGTGTGCATGTGTGTGCATCGAGGCTATTGTGGGAAACTACAGGTGACCACAGAAGTGTTCCGTAAACTCCTTTTCTGTCTGCCTGGAGTGCTGTGAGATCGGCCACTGGACGCCGTGCAGGTCCCTGGCTGAAGACTAACGTTGAGGTCTCTGTAGCCGAAACTTGGAGGCCAGTAAGAGGGAAGGCACGCTTCCTCAAGCAACCAAAAACCAAGAATATATGTAAAGGGAGATTCAAGAGATGCATTTTCAAACTCTATGCCGTGTCTCTGTCCATTTGATTCTAAAATTCTCTACTCAGTTCACGTCTCAGAGCTGATAAACTAAAAACAAGCTTTAAGACTATTACGTTTCTCGATAACTGCTCACCAAAGTGACAGCCAGGGCGGCTGTATCCCTGCTTCCTGTAGGGAGCGGTGACGCTGCACGTGACGAGCAGAACTGTTCCTTAGTATCGGAGATGTGGGATCTAGTGGGAAATTGTTCTCCTTGTGTGCATAACAGCTCATCTTTCTCTCTAAATATTTCTTGACTCTCTACTGAAATAGCTAAATGCTTTTGGCTTGTTTTCTCTCTCTCTTTTATGCAGTGCAAACTGGAGTATCAGGCATGTGTCTTGGGAAAGCGGATCTCCGTCAGATGCGAGGGCCCCTGCCCGTGCCCCTCAGACAGGCCCCCCAGCACAGGCAGAGACGTTAAGAGAGGTGAGTGATGGAAACGTATTTATAGCTTTACATTCACCCCTCTGCATTAAAATGTTTGCAGTGAATGTTGTCATTAAATATACAATAAAATCTGCTTTTATACAATACCTAACAGTAATTATATTGTCATTGATTGTTCCCTTTAGCCTCATGTATTATAGTAAGGGATGGTTTTCTGTAGATATCCATTTGTTCTAATAGCAACAGTTAGAGACTTCTTTCCTATGTGCTCATCTGTATATAAGAGACCTAAAGCAACACCTTCTATAAATCATTGTGTCTCAAATGTGTGCTTTAGATTTTTTTTTTTTTTTTACAGCAACAAACTGATCGATGATACAGTAGTAAGTGATAAAGTAGTTTAATCAGGTGTGGAACTACTCAGTCAATTATTTCTAATCCTTTTTAAATAAAACATGTCTAGCCCATTTATAGTGTGTATGCAAGGGGGGGCATAATTTCCAGTGGATTAATTTCACAAATGAAAATTTATTTTGATCAGATGAAGTCTTTACATCGGTGTGTTTATTGGTTTGATATATAATAAAATAATGAAATACCTTTAATCTGGTATGCATTATAATATAAAATTTGACTTTTCTTAAGATTATAGTCATTTGAATGGTGTTATTATATATAAGAAGAAATATGGGGAATAGATGGTTCTTTAAATCGAAACCTATTTCACGGAGCACTGTCATCAACAGTTATCATATATTTTATGACTGTTTGCCCCTCGTAATGTAAGAACTATTATTGGGTACCTTTATGAATGTGGAGAATTAGTTTTTGCCTTTTTTTTCCTTGAAACATATGAAGAATGGGTATGTGGACAGGAAAAACTATGTAGTCAGTGTGAAATTTATTTAATATAATCTGTGTATTTTCATGAACATGTAGACTTCTAATTTCATGTTACTGTCTCATAATGAATATTTTTATTACAGATACAACTTGTTAACTTTAGTCATGCCCCTTAGTTTAGTCTCAACACATTAAATATGATTTAGGATAAAAAAATTTAAAGTGAAACAATATGTTATAGCATTGCCTTTAGTAATGCAATTAGTTTATCAAAAATAAATTAACGGATTTGAAAATTAATGCCAAATTCATGCCCAAACATCAGGCCGCGTACAGAATGCCACCAGCTGGTAGAGAGAGGTGCTGAGCTGCCTCCCGAGAGTCCTGTGTTCTCAGCCCCACCCGAGTCCAGGGCCAGCCTCGGAGCTCTGCTCATTCCGCCGTCCAAATCTCATCTCCCCGGCCTGCTCTGCAACGCAGCAGCCACACGAGCACTTTCAGCACCGCCTTGAACGTCTCAGTCAGCCCCCCAAAAATCAAAAGCCAGTCATGGTTTTCTTTTAACCGAGGTTCTTTGATGTTTGCACCTTCCTTCCCCCTACTGTGGATGGACCCATTTTCACAATTCCATGAAAGACACAATTGAATGTGAAGACCCACTTTTCTCTAAAAATCACTTCAGGTGTGAAATTAATCCCGCCAGACTCAGCAGCCCTGTGTCACTCTTTTCACGGGAGGCTAGTGAGAACCGCATTTGAGAAATAGCTCATAGTAAGTGCATAATTCTAATACAGCCCAGACTTTTAACAAGATTTTCTGTTCAGTGGGATTTCCTGTTTAAAATCCACTTCTGAATGAAAGATGTTTTCGATGTAGTGTCAGTTTACCATGACGCCCCACGAACTGCAAAAGGAACTCGGTGTGCGTTAAGCAGGAAGGTGACACGTGTGAGGAGCAGATCTCTTGTGAATGAACGATGATTACGCTTCGTGTTGCTCAGATTTTCTGGACAGTGTTTATATGAACATATCAAGAAGGTAACTTTTTTTTAAAAAAAGTCATATCATCAGGGGGTAAAGATCATTTGTGTTCAATTGTGCATAGAAAGAGAGGCGAGAAGAATTTAAACTGATCTTTCTCTGACAAATTGTCGGGGCGAAGCAAGAAGGGGATTTTGCTAGCTGCTGTGCAAAAGCAATGCAGGGGGTTTTGGACGTCTCTTCCACACGGTGTCAAAGGCCGAGAGTCTTGTAAAACCGAGTTCACTATCATCTCTAATCTTTCAGCTGCCGTTTACATTAGAATGTAATGCATGCCGTAGGTAGACTGTTCAGGGCAGGTAATTCTATTTACTCTCATCTCTGTTCTAGAAAAAGCGAGTAAGAAACTACCAACAATGAAATGTGTCTTAATTAAGTTTCCAACTTCCAAGATTTGAGGTCAAATGGGCATCCTAGCATGTTGTCACTATTCAGAGCAGAGTGAATCCTTTAAATCTATTTGAAATGCATTAAAACTAATAAAAATATATTTCCTTTATAAAGTATGAATTAAGGTCTCCTGTGTTCCCCTAAAGTATTCAGTAACAACTGTGTGTAAATTGGTCCAAATATACAGCCAAGAAAAACATAATTTGCATATTTTAAAACCTTGGCTTCTGACTTTAAATAAGTAGGTAAGTGTACCCTTTCAGTCAGTAACTTAACTATACAGGTTTTTCTTTTCTCCTTCATCAATTTAAAATGGCAAAGTACCTTTATTAGTACATTTAGGTCCCTTCAATGGGCCTCCTCCATTTCTTCCTCCCTCCCTCCTTTTTTTTCCAATTTCTTGCTCAACCACAAACAAAGAAGTATCATTTGGAAGGCAGATCAACCTCATGCAAAGGATATTAACATTTCAGCTGATTTTTAAAGGCCCCTGATAATTTATATGGGCAGGAAAATATGAGATTCATAGTTGTGAGTATGGGGTGTGAATAGATCATTTTCCACAGATTTTATTTTAAACATATGTGTATATAGAATCTGTGGAATATGTGTGTGTATAAATGTGTGTGTAAATATATGTATATTGCAATCCTAAATATTAGGAGGGACTAATATTTAGTCCCCTTACAGAACTGAAGATTAAGAGCATTGGAAAAGATTGTAGAATTGCAGAAAGCATTTGTTTTGTAGTTGGTAAATCCAAACTCAGAGGATTTGTCCGCCCTAGAGGAATCATAAATTGTCTGCCCAGCCATGGTACGTGAGCATAGTAAACGATGACATATGACGTATCAAATGGGCCCCATTTGGTTATTCATTTGACTGGTTATATTCAAAAGATTATTTTAATTGGCATTTTCTTTTTATTTCAAATTTGGCTTTTCCAAAGTCCAAGCTACTTTTCTTATGATTCAGGGTTTTATTAATATGTACCTATTACAGTTTTGTATACCTAATCTCTTAAAATTTAATTAATTTTAAACGGCATCGTTTTGAACGTTTTCGACTCCGACGAGCATCCGGACACACACTCACAGGCCTTGACTGTTTGAGATGCTGAGTTTGAGCAGAGACGGCTTTGGAGAAGGAAAACACCTGTAAAAGATTTCGGCAGGTGAAGCTCCAGGAAAGAGGACAGAGCAGAAAGGGAACGTGACACCCTAAGGTCTCGGGCACAGGGAGGAATCTGTTCCCTTTGTGCTGAGACGCAGGGAACAGTCAGGGAGGACGCCGGGCGGATCCACCCCATCTTCTAACCACGCACTCTGCATAGTCATCTCTAAGAATCAGGAGACTGAATTCCACCCAGCTTTGCCACTTTTGTAAATTTTGGTTAGATCTCTTAGATTTTTTAGAAACTTCAGGGTAAAAGGGCTGGACTGACATCGTTTAGCCCTTGTGAGTGTACGGCTGACACCCCTCTAGGTGTTTGCACGTGTTGTTTCACTCATGCTCACAAACCCTGTGCAGTGGATCCTGTTGTGTCCTCAGTGTAGAGATGACCAACCTGAACCGCAGTGTGGCTGGGTAACCCGTCTACACCCCACAGCTAGCAGGTGTCAGAGCGAGGGTTTGAAGCGGCGCTCACTGCCCCTGGTTACGCCTCACACCAGCCCCTCGGGTCTCTTTTTCCGTCACGGGCGCACGCCACGCGTTCGCTCAGTAACAGTGCACAGTTTTGGTGGTGCGTGTGAATGACTTGTAGCATTTGTGTTATGCTCCTTACCAAGCAGAGATATATAAAGAATGGCGGCGCATCTTAAGAACAAATTGGGTGCGAGCTGGGTTACATACACATTTAAAAGGAGCAGTGTGAAATCACTGTGGGTTGCATGTTGAAAGTCTAAAAATTTATTGGGTTATGTCGCCTACACTCTTGGCCGTCTTCGGGTAGTGCGTATTTTCTGCAGCCAAATTTTCATAAAATGTTACGTAATAAACATTCTGAGATGCCAACAAGGAAACATGCATCATTTCGTTTTCTCTCTTTGGGTGCTTTGTCTGCATCCGTGCCGGTAGCATTTTTCATGTTTCCATGGTGATACAGGAAGATAGTTGTGGTAGCAGTAGATAATTTACTTAATGTATTACTAATTAATCTCTTTTATACACTTTCCTTAAAGTATATTCATGCCAGATTTCCACTTATTGGCTATTCCACTTGTTTCCACTTATTTCTATTATTTTTATGGAGTTACTAACATCAGTTAAATGTAAAATCGCTTGTAATGAAGTTATTGCCAGAAACAAAAAATCTGTTCAAGAATTTTAATATATTCTTTGTTCCAAATCAACTCTAATAATGAAAGTATGGCTTCTCTCTGAATAAAAATGACCTGATGAGGAGGAATTTTACTTTATAATGTGCAGTCAAGTGGAATGTGGGCCCATTTGTCTTCTGCTTGCTGTATTTACTATTTTTTCACAGTTTTTTTCTATGTCTGTCCTTCTGTCTGTCCTCACCAAAGATCCAGTATTTGATAGCACTTGCTTCATTTAAATTTTTATTACATTTACCCAGGAATATATTTATATTTATTTATTCTTAGCCTAGGGTTTTCTGAAGGTGAGAGCTCTAATTACTCGTATTTTATCATGAAAATCTTTAATGAAAATGTGACAATTCTGTAAACATAAAGGAAATATTTCAACCCTAATACGTAGAATTGACCCAAAACAGAAATAAATTATCAAAGGAGGTTTAAT